GGAGCAGGTGGGGGCGGCATAGGGGTGGGTGTCGGAGGGGCCCCCTCGGAGACAGCAGAGGGTACCGTCGCTTCGGGTGGGGTTTCAGTTGAACAAGAGGCCACGCCAAGGGAAGGCAGTGGTGGTGAGAAGGGGGAGAACGTTGCTGGAAAGCTGACTGCCAGGTCCGGTAAGGGACCTGCATCGAAGTCTGTCGGAATCCGGACTACATGGACTGAGGCACCGGGCGTAAGTGGAGAGCCCGCTGACCATGATGAGCCGAAGTCCGCCCGGATCCGGACTTATTCAGAAAGGGCTCCAGAGGCGAGGACTATTGTGCCGACGGGAGGGGGTACGCACATGGGGGTAGGAGAGCGGGCCGCAGGATTCGACATGGTTTTGGGAGAATTCCGTGAATGGCATGGGAGGGACGGAGGGGAAGAAGAAAAAAGAAGGGGAAGAAGGGGAAGAAGGGGAAGAAGAGGAAGAAGGAAAAGAAAGGGAAGAAGGGGAAGAAGGGGAAGAAGGGGAAGAAGGAAAAGAAAGTGAAGAAGGGGAAGAAGGGGAGGAAGGAGAGGAAGGGGGTGGAAAAGGGGATATCGACATTGACGACGAACAGCTAGGCAATGAGGAGAATGCCTACTGTGAGGAGTCTTCTGACTCGTTCGGGCACCTTTACGCGGGTCATCCGGGGCCTGATGTCAACGACGATGCGACGACAATCGAGATGGAGACGCAGGTGGTCAGTGACCTTTCAGCAGACCCTGAAGAATATGAGGTTCAACCGTTGACGGCTGCAGTTGATCTCCAACACCGTTGCGATGAGGTTTCCGCTGCGGTGAGCCCGGCTCAACGAAGTCAACAATTGAGCGTCGTTGAAGCTATACATGGGATACTCGGCGACGAGCAGGTGGTCAGGCAACGGTTTGCAGCGCGTGTCCCGGACGACCGCCAAAACGTCACAACTTTCGTGCCCTCGAACACCGTTGTCTCACCACCCAGCTCTCCGATCCTGACCGTCACCTTAGCCGGCGGCCGGGAGGGGGATCCAGGGGGCTGGCAACATGTCACGTCCCCGAAAAAATCTCGGGTCAGCACTCAAGCTCTCGACGTGCTGGGCTTGCCCGCGCCAAAGTCGCCGACGAAGGAACGAAGAGATAAAGTGGCTGGTAAGCAGTGATGAACGCCGATTCGTGCACGCTCCCCGAAAAAAAACATAGCCAAGTCTATTGAATGACCATTTTTTTTTTTTCATCCACAGAGTCGTTGCTTAAGTCTGTAGTGATCCGCACTTCCTATGTCGATGCGTGAGATGGTTACTCTTTGAGCGCATGCCATGGGAAGAAGTCCGCTGCACCGGGGAATGTTAACGTTTCGCTTTTGTGGCTTGTTGTTGTTTTCCTTTGTTGAGGTCGAGGTCTCAAGCTCGATTGTGCTTGTCCTGTTGTTCTCCAACGGCACATGGCCATGTAAATTCGGACTTCTGTAATTGGAGAGGTCATGTGGTTCTTTTACATTGTCGCTTTCGTAGAGCTCGTGTTGGGGAACGTGTATTCATTTTTCGTTCACTTGTGGTAAATGAGCCTCAAAATCTTCGGTGAATAGTACACTGAAGCTCATAACGAAATTTGAAAAAATTCATTAAAGAATCACATATTTTTGTCCCCGAAGATTTTTTTAAGTATATCTTTCGTCAAAGAAGTGTGTTTATTTTTTTCTGAAGTGTTATTGTTGCTTTATAGATTCGTTGGAGATTCTTATAGTGGATGACTTTCTTTATCCGTGGCGTTTGTTGAATGTTTAGTCTTCTTATATGCTTCGGCGAACATCACTTCTTTATCAAAAACGTCTTCTTTAGGTGCTTTCATGATGTTCTTCTTGGCGAGAGAATGAAGTGTCCAAAGAACTCAACGAAAAAAAGGAAAAAAACGAAATCTGACTCGACGGAAAAAAGGAAAAAAAAAAAAAATGATAACAGACGATGAAAAAACGAACTCTCTAAAGAAAAAAAGGAATAAAAAGAAATGTGGTTTTTTTATGGGTCCACCTCCACAATTACCCCATCCCCCCCTTTCGCCGAAGAATAGTACTATTTGTTTTTTTTTTTTTCTTTGGTCACTTAGCCTTTTTTTTCTCGTCCTCAACCACTTACCCCATCCCCCCTTTCGCCGAAGAATAGT